ATTTGATCATTTTTAATTAGTTTTACAATGCAACACAACCACACAACTATCAATTGTTTTGGAAAATCATCTCATATCATTTTCAATTTACAAAATACTGAATAATGTAATATTTTTATGTAACAAGTCTAATAGCTATTTTAAATGTCAAAACGAAACAAATAATTTTTTATAAACTCAACTTACTTCCTATCCGGCCTTAGATGTCAACTTAGTTATTTAAAGTCCTAGGAGTAGATACTGGTATGTACTTAAAACCATCTCCAATGGTGAGACTTGAGGGAGTTTTTTTAAGAGAGAGAGAGAGTATTTTTTACAAAGTATACCAATAAGTTGGTATCTAAACTTAGCAACTCCAAAAGAAAGTTGCTAAGTTTAGATACCCAACTTTGAGTCTCATTTGACAAAAAGTGTGGGCCCTTAATAATATATTATAATATATTTTGTAATTTATTTAAGTTTTGATTTTTTTTTAATTTTTTTTTTGAAAAATTTACAATTAGTATATTTTAGAGAGTCTAACCATTGAGAAATTAGATTTCACATGAGTTGTTAAATTGAGAAGTGGGTTGAGTATCACCATTGGAGATAAAAAACAACTCAATTCATATTTCAATACTCAAAGCTGAGTCTCACCAATGGAGATGGTCTAAGGTTTGGGATCAAATCTCGATCTTTTAGAACACTACCCATGCAACATTTTCTTACACTAATAAAAAACTTAATTCTACCCGAAATTAAACCTTGATAGCATCATCTATTGGGTGAAATTGGAGCACCTTTCCTTATCTACAATCATCTACCAAAACTTGAGTAGACACTTTACAAAGTATTTGGTATCACCAATTCACCACAATAATTGCATGGTAGGAAGGAGGTAATTCAAATATGTATGCATCTAATGCGAGCGATTTTAGCTTACGAAATGCTAACTTCATAATTGCACTTCACGTCATCACTCCCTTGTTCATCCATTGGTTAAGTACATAAAAGTATAAACTATAAATGGGTCTCTAATAATTATATTAAATATACTTAAAATAAAACTAATTATAATAATATAAATTCAGAATATTCTTGTGCTTTTGACGTTGACCTTTATGGATAAACTGGCTGCTTCTAGCTTTGATGATTTCTTTTGGGACACTCATTTAAGTCGAAAGCAAAGCAATTTTTTTAAAGTAAAATATCTTCTTTCTTTCTTTTTTTTTTTTTTTTTTTTTTAATTTTCTTTTGCAAGAGGTTTTTTTTTTTTATTTTTTTTTACAAAAGATTCTATTAACGAAAAACAGTATTACAACCTAAGAAACGAATTACATTCTAACAAGGCTAAAACAAACAAACAAACAACAACGAACTGCAAACCAAATAAAACGTAAAATTAAAGACATTGATGGACTACGCGGCAACAGACCAAAACCAACCCAAAGACAAGTCTTTTGTAAGAGGTTATACTAGCATTAAGCACTTAGCTTGTAAATACAATTATATACAAGTAAAAGATTAAGGACTGGATAGTAAGCACTTTGTTCAGGCTAAACTAGTTTTCAAGCCCATATAATACACAAAATGTTTGACTACTTAATTAAGTATAATTGATCAAATCAAATATTTCAATTTTTTTTTTAGAAAATGTTTCAAAATTTTGGTTAGTCTTTATTAGTTGAAATAGTTATTTGCCTTATGTGTTGACGGTCGAACTTAAATTAACACTTAACTAACTCCTATTTTCGTATTGATGGTAGTTTTATCTATTTATTATACTGTATATCAATGGCAATAAAAATTAGAGCTGTACTAATATGTTCATATACACCATATTTAGAATCGAAGAAGTTAATGAGGTAAATATGGAATGTTTTTAGTGGTGTATATAATATTTTATTATTTTTTTGATAAGGATAGGGTGTATAATAAAAATTACTAAAAGTAATCCATAAAATTAAATGAAATGCTTAGACAATTTGATACGTTATACGTGATATCAAGTTTTAACACTTTTTTCTTCCCACAAATAATTTCTCATTTGAAATTTTTTAAAATAATTATCATAGCTTTGATTTCTTTTTTCTTTTCTTCTTCTGAGAGGAATAATAGTTTTGATTTTTACTGACTTTGTAATCTCAGCTTGATAATCTGCTTCTTCTATCATGTTACTGTATAAGGTTTTTTTTTTTTTTTTTTTTTTTTTAATTTTTATTTATTTTATGATCAGGAAAAAAAACCTACTCCATATATTATCCATATTAAAAATGCACTTGTAAGGACTTGTGCACTAAATGAGTCGTCTTAAAAAAAAAAATACATACATACGGATCCATGATGGTATGAAACGTGGCAAATGACAACTCATAAGAAGTAATTTTTTTTGGAAGTGGATCATCATTTTTTTTTTTTTTTTTGTGAAACAATAATTATTTAATGATAACGTAGCAAATGTAGTAACAAAATATATTTACTTCCACGTCCAATAGATCCCTACATTATTTCCGTTAACCAATTCTCCACATGTATAATTTTCATTGAATTTATTGTAACTAATAGGGGTGTTAAAAAAACCCGATCCGGTTGTCCCGTTTCGATTACCCGATGATCCGCAAAAACCCCGATAGAAAATTGACAGATTTTTCTGTTTTTTTCTGGGTCAGGTATTCGTCCCGCTAAAATAGCAGTTTCGTGGGCCGGGACATGGGCCAAGCTTTGCTAATCTCGGGTACCCAGATACCCGTTAAAAAAATAATTAAATAAATTCGTTTGAGTGAGTTTTTCAAGTGGGTAGGGTGGGTTTCGGTTGGTTTGAGTGAGGTTTCGAGGTGGGGTTGTAGGTGGTGGATAAGTGATCAGGGGGTGGGGTGGTGGGATTTTAGGTGGCTAGGGTTTTCTGCTGGTCAGAGTGGGTTTTCAGGTGGGTGGGTTGGGTTTCGGTTGTTTTGAGGAAGGTTTCAAGGTGGACCGTTGGTGGTGGGTTGGTGGTCAGGGGGTGGGGTGCGCGGGATTTAAGGCGGCTGGTGTGATAAGTAGTGGTTTCTGGGTGGGGTAATGGTGTGGGGTTCAGTTCAGGGGCGCCCATGGGTGGTGGGGGTCAATGGTGGTGGGAATGGAGGTTTGGTGGTGATATGGTGATTGCTATGGAGGTAGTGATCGTGAGGTGAGAGGAGAGAGATTAAAGAAAAAAAACTAAAAAAAAAATCTGGGACGGGACAAGGGCCGACTTATCAACTACCTGAAGATTCGGGTACCCGGATCTGAACACCCCTAGTAACTAAGGTATTGTTTGGTTGACAAATATAAACTTGGGAAGTTGAAATTGCTAGGAATTGAAATTGTTTGGAGTTGTTTGGTTGACAAATTCATGGGAAGTAGAATTTCCCATGAATTCTCACTTCCTACAAAATGGAGGAAGTAAATTACCTAGGGGGAACTAGGTAAGTGGAACTTCTCATGGGAATTTCTACTTCCCTTGGTTAACCAAACACTTTGTAGAATTTCCTAAGAAGTTCAATTTCATGGGACATCAAATTTTCAAGGAATTTGCAATTCCTACATTCAACCAAACAAGCCCTAAGATATTTTTTTATTATTTTTAAAATAAAGCTTATTTTTACTAATTTACTATTGTATTTGTTCTTTGATAGATATTATTAACGTTTACAATATAAAACATATTTTTATTGATGTGAATTTATTTTTAGGAAATTTTCACTTTTGCTACCACTCAAGCACCCCTATTTCACTTTTGCTACCCATCAAAAAATTTATTTTATTTTGCTACCACCTAAAATCACATAAGTTAAATTTCACTACCACTTAACACTTTCAGTTATTATTTCCGTTAGTGAGATCCAACCACCCTAACTGTCACCTTCTGGCCACCCCTCCTTCCTCAGCCGCCCTAACTACCTCCCTGTTAACCACCAAAAAATAAAAAATTAAATTTTTTTTTTTAAAAAAACAATAGCACTAGATAAAAAAAAATAATAATAAAAAAATTTAATAAAGCCTAGCCCTTCCCCATCAGCCACCCCTCCCCCTTTACTGCTAGCGCTCGGTACATCTTCCCACCTGCGCACAGGCTTTCCCCCACGTCGCGACCCTAACCCAACCTTACAGCCACCGTACCATCCCTTACTCCTCTCAACTACCCACGACAGCTCTTCCCACCGCACCACATTACTCATCTTCAACCTCTCGCAACACCACCAAAATGCGCCGCTACTACTACTGCCCCTCCTTTCGAACAAGTCACCCCAATCTCCAACACCAAAAACCAACACCTCTAACCCTAAACCACTAGCCCGAAACCACCCTAAACAGGATTTAGGGTTTCATTTATGGTGGTGTCGGGCTGGTGTTTAAGGGTTAGGGGTGACTGTTTTGGGTGGAGGAAGAGGAGGGGGGTCGATTCACGGTGGGGGAAGGGGAGGGGGGCCGATTCCGATGGGGTGATGTGGAGGTAGGGTTGTTTTCCGGTTTCGAGGTGGGGGTTGGGGCAGCGAGAAGGGGATTAGGGAGGGGGGTGGGCTGTGTAGGTGGAGGAAAGGGATGGGGATTGGAGTCACTGGCGTCGGGCGATGCTTTGGGCGCTCGCAGGGGGGAGGGTGGCTGACGGGAGGGGGCTGGCAATTGAAGGTGGTGGCTGCGTTTTTTTTTTTTTTTTTTTTTTTTTTTTAAACATTTTAAATTTTTTTTTGAATAAACTTAACGAAATCGTGGTAGCAATTTTTAACAAACTTGTTTTTGTGTGGTAGTAAAATAAAATTAATTTTTTCCCCGATAATAAAAGTGAAATACGTGTGTTTTGCTGGTAGTAAAAGTAAAATTTTCCTTATCTTTACTAAATTTTCCTTATTTTTTAGTTATTTTTGACGGATATCAAATTGAGAGTTGACTCAAATAGATACTACTCGACTACTCGTAATAGATATTTTAAAAAAACTTTTGGGTTAAAATTTTTAATCTTAATTAATCACCATATCCTTGACTTCTAAGCAATAGCAAACAAAATCAATAAGCACACGTTTTGGGGCAATCCATCCATCACAAACTCTTCTATAAATTTGTCTATCTACATTCGCCTTCAAATGGTTCAAATTTCATTACGAAAAAAAAACCCCACCTTTTTCTCTTCTTTTCTATCTTGATTCTTGTAGAAAACTAGAGAAAATCTGAGCAGCCATGGCAAAACCTTACCATTATTATCTTAATCACATATTAATACCAATATTAATGGTGTTTTTTCTCTGTTTTATAATGACTGAATCTGCCCCTCAAAGTTCTATTGTCACTCAACTTCCTGGATTTAATGGCACTTTTCCCTCTAAACACTACTCTGGGTATTGATTTATTATTGATTTAATATAATTTTTCTCATTTTTCTATTTTGATTTTAATTTGCTCCGTTTTTTTATTTGTTATTTAATCTGTCATGACTGAATGAGTGTGTTTATGGTTTGAAATCAATGCAGCGGTAAAATTTTATTGGTAAATTTTGATTATTTTTTGACATTATTATATTGGTATATATATATGATGTGTTAAGGTATGTGACAATTGATGAGAGTCAAGGGAAGAAATTGTTTTATTACTTTGTTGAATCAGAGAGAAACCCATCAGAGGATCCTGTTGTTCTTTGGCTTAATGGAGGACCCGGATGCTCGAGTTTCGATGGCTTTGTGTATGAGTATGGTACGGGTTCTAAATTAGTTAATGAATCTGTGGACTGTGGTTATAACTATTGCATTTGTTTTGTTTCTCAAATGTAATGAATTTGGTAGAGGTTAATATTCAATGATGAATGCTGTCTACGTGAATATGATTAGTTATTTACTGTGTATATATCTCAGGTCCTTTTAATTTTGAGGCAGCAAAGACAAAAGGAGGCTTGCCAAAGTTGCATATTAATCCATACAGCTGGTCTAAGGTAAGGTCATAATCGGCCTCGTGTTATCTCATCAATGTGCATAGTTTAGTCACTTAATTCGTCGTTTGGAAAGTAATTTGATGCAATTACAGGTTTCCAATGTAATATACTTGGATTCTCCAGCAGGAGTTGGGTATTCTTATGCACAAAACATTAGTGAGTATGATACCGGGGACCTTAAGACCGCCTCTGATTCACATACATTTCTGCTCAAGGTACATTTCAATTTAGGCTTTAATGTAATGAATATGGTTGATATTATAATCTCTTGGTATCTTGATCATTATGGTATCATATATTATATGCTGAAATATTTTTGTTATCATTATGATATCATAATCAACAAGATACCAAGAGATATATGATATCTCATATAATATATAGTTAATTAGATAATTGGTTACTTAATCCTGATGCTGCTGTCATGGTGTGTCCAGTGGTTTGATATCCTAATGATCATAATACCAAGAGATATATGATATCTCATAATATATACCTAATTAGATAATTGGTTACTTAATCCTGATTTTGCTGATATGGTCTGCGCAGTGGTTTGATATCTATAAAGAGTTTGTGGCAAACCCATTTTTCATCGCGGGTGAGTCTTATGCTGGGATTTATGTGCCAACCCTTGCTTCAGATATTGTGAAAGGTAAATTTTCCTAATATTTTTGAGAATATGATCGTTACATTCCATTTTATCCGAAGGGTAATAATAATCCCTTGACTTATGCAGGACTTGATGCTGGTTCAAAGCCTGTTATCAATTTGAAGGTAATTAAAGTTTGTAACTTGGTGCATTGAAATATGGTTTCATGTCCAATTATTAATACCTTGTTGTGTTGGTGTACAGGGTTATTTGGTAGGAAATGGTGTTACAGATGAAACCTTTGATGGAAATGCTTTAGTGCCTTTTGCACATGGAATGGGCTTGATCTCTGATCAATTATATCAGGTACACATAGTTTTCATCTATGTCGGAGACTATCCCTGTCCTCATCTTTATTGACTCTTTAACATTTATTCAGATCTTCCCATGATACTACTGTAATATATTATGTGTTCTTGGCTTATGAGATGGCAAGATCAAGTTACGTGAAGTTTTTCGTAGTCATTTACTGCAAATGTTAGCACTGCCACATCATTATTTCAAAGGAATTCTTCCTACTGAACTAAGCAAGTTTCATAAGTTGTTTCATAATTTGCAAGAAGACCTGTCATTTTATCATTGCAGAACTTGTTCATTTATCCATTCTTTTTTAATACGGATAATCATACGAAGAAAACATCTATTGGCTGACAACTTATAGTCTAAATCTGCAGGAGGTTGTCACTCAGTGTGAAGGAAACTATTACAATCCGAGTTCTGATAGTTGTGATGCCTTGCTTTCAAAAGTTAACCAGGTTATTATACTTTTTTAATTCTGGAAATTTATTATATACATTGATTTGGTTAGGTTTCTTCTTACTTAATGCATTTTGATCAACTGCAGGACGTTGATGGATTGAATATATATGATATTTTGGAGCCTTGTTATCACTCCCCTGACTCAGGTATGCAGAGTACTGCTCATCTAAGACTACCTTCGAAAATTTCCAGCTTCAAGGCATTAGGAGAAACTGAAAGACCTCTTCCTGTGAGGAAAAGAATTTTTGGCCGTGCTTGGCCCCTCAGGGCTCCTGTGAGAGATGGACGAGTTCCTACCTGGCCAGAAATTGCTAACAGCGCTTCTGTTCCTTGCATTGTAAGTTAGCGAGGACAGTTCTATGATGAAGTGTTGTACTAAATTGCATAGTACTATATAAAGGACTAATTTTTAATGTGTATATATGCAAAATTTGAAATATATAGAATGATGAAGTTGCAACTTCGTGGCTGAATGACAAGGCAGTGAGAAAAGCAATTCATGCTGAAGAGGTAGGACTACGCACTCATTTCCTTTCTCTTCCAAAAGAGATACAAATAAGTATTTCTACATGTCAAATTTCTAAATGCCAAACTCATTGTTCTTTTGATAATGCTCCAGGAAAGTGTGTCGGGTCCCTGGGAACTCTGCACAGGCAGAATTTCATTTAACCATGATGCTGGAAGCATGATTACATACCATAAGAACCTCACTTCTCGAGGTTATCGAGCCCTCATATACAGGTTTATCAGCTTGCTGATATCTGTTAGTGAGATTAATAAACATATATCAGCATAATTTTACTGATAATGTAGTTTTTCAATTTTTTTGTCAATCTGACAGTGGAGACCATGATATGTGTGTTCCATACACTGGGAGCGAGGCATGGACAAAATCTGTTGGGTACAAAGTAGTAGATGATTGGAGGCCATGGGTTTGCAATGAACAAGTTTCTGGGTGAGTCTCGGTCTTCAGACTTTGTGGTTATAACATACTGATGGCATTGTATGTTAAACAAGTTTCTTTAGTTTACAGTGGTAATAAAATTAACTGCTATTCATTATAATGCAGGTTCACACAGGGATATGAGAAGAATCTCACTTTCCTTACTATAAAGGTTGGTCCATGCAGTTAATTTTAGCTAATTAACCAAGATTTTAAAAAGTTTTAGCACAATCCATGTCTTGAAACACATGAATTCTTTGATATGACTGATTGCAACATGGAACATTTCTGGTGCAGGGGGCAGGACATACGGTACCAGAATACAAACCGCGAGAAGCACTGTACTTTTATAGCCAGTTTCTGGCAGGGAAAAGTATATAAAGTATTTCATGTTAATGAGAGTTGAACCTGACAAATAAACTTCTGTAAAATACAATTTGAAAGAAATATATATGGTCATGAATCTTAAGTGCATACTTGTGTATGTATCTGTTAACTTTGTTGGCTTCTGACTCTGTTAAAATTTTTGTTACTCATGCTGATATTACATTGGGGACTTGAAACATGTCCTACATTATAAAAAAGAACGTTTGTGATTTTGACAGAAAGGATAAATCTGAAAACCTGATGTGATTTATTGATCCGAAAATCAACAAAACACAAGGGATATGTTTATTTCTAATTCTCTACAGGAAATCCACCAAGAAATAAACAAAAACTAAGATTAATCAACTAAGAATCCACCTAATTAAACGAATGTTTTAAACTAAAACAAACAAAACAGCAATTGATCGCAATCAACCAAACTTAAGTACGCAACTTAACAATAAAATTCCGTAAATTTGTGTATATTCTAATCTGAAAATAGGCATGGGTTTACAACTTTACATCAATATTTATAGGAATTTTCTAGCCTAGAATGACTAGAATTTTATCCTAGAACTAATCCCATTCGGCCTAGAGTTTTATGGCAAGTAAAACTCTAACTTAGCTTGAATTCCAAGCTATCCGAAATTAACTAACAACTCCTATGCTGGTTAGAATCCTAAACCAACTAGGAACCTTCCATACTTCCCTTAATTAGTACCACACGCCTAAAATCAAGGAGAATATCCTAACAAAGAAATATTTAAAGAAACTTAACAAAACCTAATGCTTAAACCAAGAAAAACCCTTTCAAGAGAAAGGTAAAAACTTGCAAGCAAAAATCTAAGAAAGCTAATTAAAGAAAGTTCAAGAACCCTAAAGAACGTTCCAAGAACGTTCAAGGAAGTCCAAGGAAGACTATTATGCAAACCGTAGTCTTACTTTGATATCCAAGAAAGTGTGCGTTGCTTGCCATGCTTGAATCAATGTCTAGGGACAAACTTTCTTGATGTCTAACTAGCAAATCTTCGAAGTTCTCCATGTCATGATTCGTATCAAAACCTAGGAAGATAAAAACACAACACGAGGTTATAAACAGAACAATCAGAAAACTGTAGTGGTTTTGGTACCATATCATTTGGTTCTACATTCTGTCCATTTCTCTTTGAAAACGCACTTTTAGTTATGTTGTTACATTGCAACATAGCTATGTAAGTCTTTTGTAAAATCTTTTCATTAAGAACAGATTTAGATAAAAGATCTATTAGCAGTTTAACTGGAGAACTACTGCTTACAGATGATCAGTGTTTTTATATTAAGACATTCAGCCTGGCTTAACTGACAACACAAGATAAAATACGCATCTAACGATGATATTCATGCCTTTCTATGCTTTTACAAAAGATTAAGGCATTTTGCACCAAGAAATATAAATGATTAAGACATTTAAATAAGCAAGGCAATTTAGATTAGAAGCCTCAAGTAGCCTGCAATTTGTAAAAAACTAACAGCACAATATGTTTCCTGAAACATACCTAACTCTGAATTACACTACAGCAAATTGCATTATCAAATCAGAATAACCCCTCTCCCAGGCTTTGATCAAGATCTATTGGCTCTGGAATAGAAATTTTTGCAGACAAACAAGCTCTTCTCTCCTCTAGTTCTTGCTTCACTTTAGCAGTGCGAGCAAGGAACTCTCTTTCCTCTTTATCAACCTGAGCTTTCTCCTTGTCAATAGCTATTAAAGACTCAATCAGAGGCTTGTTTTTGTGCAGTGCCAAAGCCCTTTGAACAAAAGGAACTAACCAGCCTACCGTCAATCTTGCACAATGAAGGTCATACAAAACGGATTCTAGGTCCTTAGCTAAGGAATCAGTCAAGGTCCTAGCTGTAGTATTTTGAAGAGTGATTATGAGCTTTGCCAGTGATTCTAAGGCACAGGTTAACATGTCTTTGCTTTGTACCGTATACTTTCCAACTAGGTTGTCATGCTTGTTCCAAATAAGTTGCACAGTTGACAATAGGTTTGGCTTGATGTCTAGTGATTCTAAACTTTGAAACTTGGTGTTTGGCTCGCAATCCTTCGAAGCCTACAACACCACAGAAGAAGCAAGAAACCCAAAACATTATTCCTTGAAATTTCAGTGTAAGATTTTTTTAGTGATGCTTGCATAAAAGTCTGAAGGAAAAAAGCATGCTTACCAATACTGAAGGAATTTCAGGTGCAGTTTCTGCAGCAGAAGCTTTCTTTGAGGTATCTGGTGCTTTGCATGAACAAAATCAAGTCAGAAATAATACAAGGGGGAAATAAGGCATTTACAATGACAGAACATGAAAAAAAAAGCGAACTTAGGCTGTAAAAAAGGGTGAATCAGATTGGGGGATGGTTGGTGAAGTTACCTTCCTCATGATTTTTATCAGAACCAGGGGGGTGGGAGGTAGGTTTTGCTTTTGCTGCAGAGTCTGATGTGCTTTGTTCCTCGGATTTTGGTGCACGTGAGGCAGTAAAGACATGCTCGTGTGAAGACGTGCCACCTTGATTGCTTGCACCAGGTTCCATCATTGCATCTTCCTCAGGTTCACTTCATATACAAATGTTAAGTTTAACAGTTAATCAAGCATATGTCTATGCAGACAAAATGGTTCCCTCTATTTAACAGGAATAAACTTATAATTCTCTGAACTAAAGAGTAAATGTGCTATCCCAAAATAATTGTCCAGCTGCATCTTATACATACTATTGCACACTAATCAGTAACTCTGAACCTCAGTTCTCACCCTATCAACCTTAAACAAAACTTTAAGACATAAGTGATGCATTGTCCGATCCAACGAAAGAAAAGGATAACACATACCATAGCATTACTAGAAAATTCATCAAGTCATATAAGGCTCTTAGATTTCAGCTGTATAAAGCTTAATTACAATGTCCAGGGATCTTTATTCCATCTTTAAAAATATATATATATATATATATATATATATATATATATATATATATATATATATATATATATATATATATATATATATATATATATATATATATATATATATATATATATATTTTCAAATCATCTGCACATATAGACTATAATTATTACACACACCACAATAATAATGATAATTCAGCATGATTTCTACTTGTATAATATGTGATCATCTTAGTCTATGTTTCGTTGGTGGGTTTAATTATTTATTCTTTTAAGAAATAGCTTCTATTTCTTGGCTGAAAATCAGTACAAATAAGTTTCTCCAAAGCAAACACGTCTCCAACATTTAATATTGATCCTAACAAAAACCATTACTTTTGAACTTTAAAGAACTAAAATTGATTACCATTGAAAATGTGACGGGAATGAAGTCGACTGAGCCTGCAAAACCCTAGACGGCGGAGAATAAAAGTCAAGAGCACTTCCCGGGAAACCCACAGTCTGTATGGAATCAACATGATCATGATCTCCTAACCTAAAAAACTGAACTACAACCTTAGATTCAGCAGGTTTACTATAGGGACGAAAGGCGCCGTTGGAAAAGATAATACAGTTTCCAAGCTCAAAACCAGGAAATTCAGCAGCTGAAACAAAGAAACTGCACGATTTCGAAACAAACAACACCTTAGGATCATCATCATCCCCAAAACTCTCAACCTTAATCCAACTCCATGACTTCTTATCAGCAAACTTACACAACTTATAAACTTTAATCATATCATTACTTCGCCTAATCATATACAATTCTCCAGATGATTTTAATCCCTCAAGACGCTTCCTCAAACCCTTGCTTACACATTCCGGCTTAATCACCGGCTTTTCGACTACTGTCTTAAGTACTGCAAATTGATTAGTAAACATCCTGTACAACTTCCCAACTCTATCAATTACATAATTTACACCACAAAAACACACAAGATCATCGAACTTGTCAAGCGAACCATACGAAATATCAAACCAAGGCAACTCCGTTCCATACCGAAACTCCGGCCTAACCGGAGGAGACCCTCCTAATTGCCCCCCTCTAAACAAAACCAACAACGAACCATCATCGACACCGGTCGGAACACTTTGATCATCAAAAAACGGCAGCACTTTATCATGACAAAACAGAGCCCTCGAAGGTTTACACTTATCCTTTTCATCAGCCATGTGGTAATCAACAGCAAGACAACGCGGCCGAAACCGGTCTAGGCTGAAATTCTCAGGAATATCAGGTAGTAGATCACCAGAAAGAGGATGGCAAAATTGAAATTTCCCTTTAGTGATCTCAACCGAAGTGACCAGCCATGGTGGGCCAGAGACAGGTGGGCGGAGGAGAAAAACAGAGGATGAAAACAGAGTTTCCGAACCCATATCGTACGGTAAGAGGGCGGAGATTGCGGTGGCTCCACGCCATTTTTTACAAACTGATTTGAAGTTTTGTAGATCTTGTTTCTTTCGAAGGCGTTTCGCAATCGATCGGATAATCTCCACCGGGAGGTCCGCCCACATTACTTTCCGGCGAGAATTTTGCATTTTTAGTACAAAGAAAGAGTTGTTCTTGGTTTCAGTTCTAAGAGTTGAGCTTGAGGTTTAGACTAGGAAGAAAAATGGAGGAAGGAGATAAAGAGATGATCTAGAATTATTACTGTTAACCATCTCTGTCATCTTCGTATTAATTGTTGTTTTTACCTTCCCGCGAAAATTCTACATTTTTCGCGCGCAATATGAATGTTGGGAATAGGGTTGGCCCAAAAGCAGCTCCTTTGGGCCTAGCTTAGACCTGTCAAACGGGTCGTTCGGGTCGGGTCAATTCGGATCGGGTCAAGTTTGTGTCGGGTCACCAAAATAAATTCACTTAAAAAAATAGTTGGAAAAATAAAGTAAAATCGTTAAAAAAAAATCATGAGTACCTATTATTTAAGAAAGAAAGAAGCCCTAAACTAAGTAATTCACCATTTCACCCTATTCACTTCAAGAATCGAGTCACTTCGGGTCAGGTCACTTTGGGTTGGGTCACTTCTGGTCGGGTCGTTTCAGGTTAATCAATTTGGGTTAAAATTGGGTTGGGTCACTTCGGGTCGGGTCAACTTCGGATTTCGAGTCAATTTTGGATCGGGTCATTTCGGGCATTGGGTCAACTTCATTTCGGATCGGTTCGGGTTAGTTCAGGTTCGGGTCGTTTTTCAGGTTAACATTCAGGTTGCGGGTCGGGTCAGGATTGCTAGGTCTTCTAGCTTTGATTTAATCCAAGTGAATGAATAAACTACTGCAATACATATGACTATACTAGATAACTAGCTTATGGTCCCGTGCAATGCACGGATTTAGCAATTTTTATAAAAGTTTGTATTTCAACAATTTTTTATAATTTTTTTCTATTTATAAATAATATGCAAAGGTCAATATTCGTTACAAAAATGCTTCGTACTACCTCTGTTATATATTAGTTGCAACTTTGGGGTATTATTTGTAAGATATAAAATATTCCAAAGTTGTAACTAATATGTAACGGAGGAGTAGTAAACTTTAAGTTATACATACCTGTATGATATATATACTCCGGACAAATTTATATTATATTAAAAATTATGCATATCTTTTTTTAATAATAATATTTTGCTTAAATTTTCTAAAGTTGTTACAAAATTGTTTTATTGAATTTGGGAGGAAAAGATTACCTTATATAAAATATATGGAAGATTTTTCTTATATATATTGTTAAAGTAGAAAAAAATTATACAAGTAGTGAATTAAAATTTTCCTAAGATAATTTGACAAAAAAGTAAACAAAAAGTTGGTGGAAAATTATTTAACTAGATTTTGCCACGTGTCATTTTTTATTCGCCTTTAGTATATAGATAGTTACTAGTTAATTTCCCGTGCAATGCACGAATTTTACTAAATTATATAATGAAGTACAACATTAATTTCCGTGCAATAGATGCACAGTTGTTTAATACAAAGTAATTATAAAACGACATTAAAGAAAAACAAAAAATAAAGACTCTACACCAATTATTAGAAAGTATGAAGTATATAAATAAAAATAACCACATATAATAGTTATAATGAATAATTTGATACTCGTATTTTGGAAAGTTTAGTTTAGATTTTATGTAAAGCAAATCTCTTTATTTATATACAATGATCCTGCATTATGGTAAGATTTTTTCTTTTTTTTGAAGCAAATACTTTTGGAGGGAAAATACTCAATACAATGAAGCTAAGTGTCATTTTAGGTTTGCCTTTAGTAATATGTAATAGATTGATATCCAAGCCATGTTCGGTTTTTAAATTGTTAAATTGAAATATAGAAGTTTTTAGAAAAAAATATAACATAATAGTTAACTATAATAATAGTCTACAAAAAATTAAATATAATAAATAAATATAATGATCGAATTTCCTAAAACATTAATGCTTTCAAAAAAAGAAATTAGAAAGGAAAATTAATACTATTATTTTAAAACAGGAAAATTAGAAAGGAACATTCATGTTTTAAAATTATTTGTTTTAATTACAAAAAAAATATACATATCTTCCATCCCAATACCCTAATCATGCCTATTCATCCAAGAAAATAGTTTTTTCATCTAAAAAATTTTATTAAAACAGAAAATCAATCAAACAATTCTTCTACATCTCTCCCGTCCCAATCCCCTAATCATTCCTATTCAAGAAAATAATTTATTGGATCAAATATATATATATATATATGATCAAAATGCACTTTACTTTCTTCCCTAATTAAATTTCAATTATGAAAGTACTAACTCTTCCCTTCTTTCTACCCCAAATCGTTTTTATTCATCCCCAATTTTTAATAACTAAAGCACTAATTCATTACTCTAATATTAATTACTTCTTTAAAAAAACAAAATTAGCAACAAAAAGTAAAATGCAATTCATGATTTTGTATATATATTTTTAACTTATTCTCAATTTGCTTATTCATTATAGGTTTATGTCAAATTGTGTGAAGTTTTTGGTTTGAATTGATATTATTTGTTGAAATATCTTCGCAGCCATCATGTTTCTTTTTTTTTTTGGGAATAATTTATTAAAATTTTAATCGTATGTCAAAAGCAATATTAAATTGTATGTGTGATCATTCTACTGTTTTTTTTTGTTTAGTTTGCATCTTTCCGTTCCTCTCAATCTATATATGTATATATGCTTTTAATCGATTTTTAATGCACTTATTTTTGGGCATCCTACCAACAGTAGATTCATTGAACGAAGTAGATCTTTGTATTTTTCCTCATTTTGCATCTGAGTCAAGAAGTTTAGTCGCTAATTAAGTTTTAATCCATATAAAATGTTTTAATTGACAGATATTTTGAAAAATACGAATGGTAGTAGGCATGGCTTTCAATGTTGTTCAAGAGTTGCAATCCAATTATTCGCTAGGAAAATTCGAATTTAAGGAATTATATTTCATACATATGTTCGTTATTAAAATTTTCCCCCCATTTCACTTTTAAAGGCGCGACTTACACAACTTGATCAATCCTCCCATTAAAAAAAATTACAAATAAATATAATTCGTGCATCGCACGGGCTGAATACTAGTTTTCTTAATAAAAAAAACCCTAATTCTTTATAGAGTACTAGTACTAGTAATATTCTACTCCATAATATATTTCTAATAATTTTATACATTTGTCTCTGTGAGACTGTGACACTTTATTGAAAGGTTTTTTTTAACTTGCCTTAACAAAAAAAAAAGTATTTATAACTTAGCAAATAAAAGAAAAAGATCATATTGTGGGAGAAGATAGGATTATTATATTTATTATTAAGTTAAATTTTCTCAAAAAAGATTTGATATGACGTATGAATAGAAAACTAACATAAATAATTAGAATTGTGCCCGGACGATGCCTAGATGGTTGATAAAATTTTAAGACAAATTTTTTACTTGACTTAAATACTGTCAAATAATTCGTTTTGATAATGTAGGATATTTAGACATACGATATCATATGACTTATATTTATATAATAGTTTATTTTTTGTAGTTTTGTTTGTAAATAGATATATATGTTATTATTGACTTGAAATTAATTATTTTCATTGAACTTAATTTATTTTTACTGAAATGAATTTTTTTTTACCAAACTAAAATTATTTTTACTAATTCACTAATATTTTTTTTAAATAAATTAAATAACAATGTATTTTGTATGTGGCTAGCTACACCATCTGGCCGGACAATGTAACCTTACCCCTATAAAACTGACCAAGTAACCCCTAAAATACTAACTGAGTAACCTCTAACATTGACTAAGTAACCCCTATCTATAATTGAGTAACCACTATAACAATGACCAAGTAACCCCTATAGCACTAATAAGTAACTATTGTAATAGCTGGTGACACAGTTTGGCTAGCTACATGTAAAAGTTTGTGATTAAATATATTATTAATGGATCTTATTTTACAGAACTTTTTAAAACAAATTTGATGATGGAAATAGAACCGAGTTATAGGATATTTAATTTATTAAAAGTTATGATTAATTTTGTATATATAAAATATTAGAATTTTATTGATAATAAAACTTTATACGACAATTTTATTTAGAAAAATCTATCCAAAAACAGCTTACTTAGCATTAGCATCACATGTGTCACAGTAATACCTATTTATCTCCTACATGGCGCGACACTTGGCGAAAAGCTGAAATACCAAGTGTCGCTGTCTCGTAACATGGCTACGAGACCGACTTTATTTATTAGTGATATGATAGGAAACGGTATATGAAAAAAGTAAAAAAAAAATCCCAAAGCCCTAAACCTCAATTTGGAGTATCTTCCTGAGACGACACCAATTTGTAAGTCTAGTTGACTAAGGCTTTTATTTTTTATTTTTTAATTTTTTTATTTTTTCAGTTTTGATTTATTGTTGCTTTATTTAATTTCTAGTGACATTGATTTAATACGTTAGTAGATTAGCTATTCATAATCAATGATATTTAGGTTTACATGATAGTTGTGATCAATTCAATTTTGTCATCCTAATTGAATCATCTATTGAATACTGGTGATTTGTAATTTCTGAAAGTGAGAAATTGTTCAAATCGTTATATTCATCATTATACATAATTACATACGATCTTACAGGTACTAATTTTGTAATTTTTTTAGGGTTTTTATTTTATTCGTCATACTTATTAAACAATTTGTCGATGGCATTATTTGTCTATTGCTGTTGTTGGTCATGAACTCTTTGAACGGGATGCTTAACATCCCGAGCTCATCACCGAAACTGGCCAAGCCTTGTCGATCATTAGATCGGACATTATATTACTCACAAGAAGTATTATGATAGTAGTGAAATATTACAAAGAGGGAGGATATTTTGTAGAAAGGCTTGTGTTTGGTATGACTTCTTGTGTTGTGTTTTGAATGTCCTTTACCTATATTTATAGGTGTAGATGGAGCTTGGAAGATTTGTGTGGAGACTTCCACATATGTAGATATTCTTAAACTCTCCACATAAATCTAGAATTTTCATTGACATTTAATAAT